CTATGACTGTCTAAGAGTGTAGTAAATTCTTTACTGTGAGTGTAATGAATCTAAAATAGTGATTATCAATCTACAACAATGAGTATAAATCTCTTACTGTGAGTAAAAATATACAGCAGTTATTGTGAATACATTAAGATTAATGCCATCTAATTATTATTTATTCTAATTAACTAATTGTAGATCTTTAACAAATACGAAAATGAGTGAAGAACAAGGGCATGGCGCAATCAATGGGCTCCCCGGTTCCCGACTGCCGGAACATAGACATACATGTGGCGGACCTTCCAACGTGGGTAAGTAAAAATTAATAACTACTCCTATTTTTTACTTCACATATGGCACAAGTTTAGAAAAACAGTTTATATTAATTCCTTGTAACGATTGCGTTCATGAAACTTTAGAAAAAGCTAAAGACATCATCAGTTATAAATAAATTTACAGTTTGCCGAAAATAATAGTGTATGGCATCGTGCCTTAAGGCAAATTGCTGGAATTTCCCGTACCGTAGCAAAATGTTTGAGGAATATTAAATGTTTTCAAATAGCTTATTATAAATTCTGTAAAATAGACTAATCTTTAAGAATTATATAAACTGAATAACAAAGCTAAAATTGTTCATTAAAGTATATAAGTGAGCTTTAAGACTTTAACCAGAATTAAAATTGAAATCTGAATTATTTTCGATATACAAAAAAAAATAAAATTGGAAAAAAAAATATGAAAAACAAATTTAAATACATTTTTTTTCCAAAAGCAATTGTTTCGTCAACCCGAGCAGATTTTTTTTTGAATCATTTATATCGGATGCTTGTTTCTTTTAAAAACTGTCTCTGTATCTTCGAAATGGCTGGACCTGCCTTTGCCAAAAACTAATCATCACTTCTCCTAATCATTACAAATTGAATGTTTTTAGATTGCACTCTTTACTCTTTATCTCCGTAACAGTTGGACCTGCCTTTGCCAAAAACTAATCAGCACATCTCCCTATCAATAGGTATCGAATCTTTATTTAACCATTCAAATCGGTTAATCCGTGCGCCCGAAAACGTGAATGAAAAAATACGGACACACACACATCCATTTTTCTGAGGTATGCCAAAATGTTCAGAAACCTTTAAAACGTGGAGAAATGCAAAAATTTTCATTTTCGATTATCGGCCCATTACTATAACGAAAAGTTAAAAAAGCGTATATTTAGTTTGAAATATCTGGAAATATTTTATGAAAAAAGTGACACAAATATGATAATGATCAATACATTCTTGTATTTTAATTTGTAAGCCTTTGATTTTATAAGGGCCTCCAAACCAAGTTTTATACGGTGCCCCGCCAAGATGCGCCAATTATTTGATTATTGGTCGTGATGAATCAATTCGTTAATTATCGAATTGGTTGGACGTAATTAATCAATTACGCTCAAGAAATATTGCGCACCTCTGTCGCGTAAAAGAAATATATATACTGTTACACAAACCGGTTGCGCTCATCGTTCTTTTGTCTACGAGCAAAAGAAATTCAAATTAATGTCGATGAAACTAAAAGTATTTCGTAGAATTTTCCATTTTCATAAATATTACTACATTAATAAAACCGTAAAATTATATTGTAAATATTTGCAAACAAACATATAAGTGTGGATTTAGTGCAGACTGTGATAATTGGCAAGTACCGAAGAAGCGTCAGTGACCTGTGAATAAGAATTTAACATTCTGCTTACACGTGAGTTTAAGAAAGAAGTCCGAAATGGTGGGACTAACACATTAACATCAGAATCGGATTCATATGTGAATTTTGTTAGATGTGTTCGTAATTTAGCCCGTTAGCCGTTATTCAATAGAATTTTGTATTTCGACATAGTGCGATCGTTGTTGATGGTGCCCAAGTGGAATTTTGTTCAAATCTACAAATGTCTTTCATAAGAACGCGTGGTGATGTGCTCTGTGAGTTTTAACATTTAAACTGGTATTCAAATGATTAAACTTCGACATATCGTGTGATATAATAAATTAGGTGACATTTTTGGATACAGGATACAAGGTTTTTTAGCAAGTGAGATTTTTTTTATTAATTTTCTTGTAAAGCTTTGTAATTTTAATTTAATTACTACTATTTATATAATATTGTTCTTATTTTATTCTTGGCCATATAATAATAAAATTTCTTACAAATGATACAATTACAATTGCACTCATCGATATAAATTAATAGGGTTGATTATTAATTCATTATTACTATATTAATTCATTGATTCAATTAATTAATCAATTTAATTCAACAATTAATCATCAATGATTCCATTACTATTTCTTAATTGAGCATTTATTATGGATAATTATTCAATTTTATATTTTCCTCAAATAATTATTTTAATAATTGAACAATTTTATTTATATACTAGATGACCCGACAGACGTTGTCTTGTACCCATGTCTACAATTTTTTAATATAATATACTAATATTTACCGTTTACCTAAAAATAATAATTATTGTTTTTTAAATTACTCTTCGCGCCAAAATGCATATACATTTATAATATGAGCGATTTATAATATGAGCTTTAAACAATACCTTGTCGTTTTCTGCAATTTTTTCCATTTATTTTTACAATATTGCACATTCATCCCCAGGCAATTATTCGATTTTTTCTCGCCGTAAGAACCATCCTTGGACTTCAACGAACATTTTAAAAAAAGAATTGCCAAACTTGGTCCAGGCGTTGTTGAGTTATGCGCTTACCAACACATTTTGCAATTCATTTTTATATATAAGATGTACAAAATTAAATATTTAATAATGAAAGATTAAATTAAAATATTATGGCTGAAATATATAATGCGGTGCATCAGGAAAAGCTCTCGGTAATATAATCTGACGGTAAATCCAAGAAATCAAACCTTGATTTTAATACCCTGAATTAGTTTTGATGTGAATATAAAATTATATTCATTCTTATGCAGATATAATTAAGCATTCAGTTCAGTAAACATTCATTAAAGAACTTCGCATAATATTTCTAAAGATTGTGTATGTATTCGTGTTTTTTTATTGATAATAATTAATAATTAATACTAATGACTTCGAAATGTATACGTAGAATAAATAGACGATTAGCCTTACATTTTAATATATTAAACTTAAAACATTAGTATATATTATATAGGAAAGGATAAATTATTGTTAGAACTAATACAGATATACTTTATATTGAATGAGACAAATTAAAAAACTATACATTTGTGAGTGTTCATTTTTTAATCTTAACATGACTATCACTGGGAAGATATTAAAATTTTATATCTGCATATTAATCACTAAAATCACTGAATGCCTTCGCAGTCAGATTTTAATTATATATAGATTGTTCGATATAAATCAAAATATGTAAATAGTAAAGTTTTATGATTTTTTTTCGATTTGACGATTTCTATCATGCTTGCGCAATTGTACTAATAACTGTAATTTCCAAATTTGAATTATAATTGTTTCCGGTTCCGACGCATTCAATACAAGATCCGTTGAACATGGTCATATATCAAAAAAATCTCTCATATTACAGGCGCTCATAGTGTAACGGTACGAGTTAAAGGGCATTTGGTTTAAATGGTAGCGAAATAATAATGTTTTTTTTTAAATTAAACTTAGATATTTCAAATTGAAAATTAATATAAAATTAGATTTAAAAATTCAGCTATTCAAAGAACATCTTAAAAGCAAATGCCGTTTTTTTAGATCAGCAGTTGCAAAGACTACAAAAGATCATTATAATATCATATAAGAATACATATAATATTACGTATTGATACATGCAAATCAAATATATATATACCTAAACAAGGAGAACCTCAGGTTTACTCTTCTGGAATTTTGATAAAATTTCTCTCTAGGGCGCTAAGGTTTCTCTCTTTGATAAAATTTCTCTCTAGGGCGCTAGAACGCTTACAGTGTTCTATATCGATATTGTAAGTAAATTTTAAGCATTGTTATGTTACAAACTTGTTAATTATTTTATAGAATCAATTATTGAAATTTGTGTGCAATTATTTAAAAGAATAAATCGAATCCATTCTATATAAAGTTGAAGAACTTCTCGATTCTTGTGCCCATGTAAATTTTTAAAGAATTATATATATATATGATTAATATTGATATTTAATTAGTTTAATTATATAAATACTAGATAAGTATTTAAAAATAGTTTGAGATTTTAAAATATTTTTCTGAAATCAGCAAAAATTAAAGCATTGATAAAATAATGTGATATTTGTTGGTGTATAAATAAGCGGTTCAATAAGCGGTGCTCAATTCTAGCAGCTTTTCTAGAAATAAGTTAACTTATTTAAAATTTCAAACGACAATTTTATGAATATAACATTCAGTTAAAATGTATTTCTTGTCTTATAATATAAGACATCGGTCGGGAAACTTTTGTAATCATTACCCCAAAATATTTTTGTTTGAGTTGATATTATCCTATGGCGGAGAGAGATTACCCCCATGTGTTAACGTAACAAATACAGTAAATATTACCTAAAAATATATACATTTTTACCCCAAAAATTCTATTTTCACCCCATTTAAGGTTTTTACTGCGGATATAAAGTAGGGTATAAGGCTTATATCTAATAAAGAACTGCTAAAATAATAAGAAAGAAAATTGCAATTTTTACACGAAATTTAATTAAAAAAGACAAGCTTTCAATGTAAACCTGTTGTTATAAATAATAATATAATGGAACATATGATTTGGACAGCAATGGTTAGTACATCATGCAGAGATAATTTAAAGAAGTATAAAGCCATAATTATTCTACTAATAGACCTTGAGCCAGTCCACGTATTGGCGCATCAATGTCCGTCAGCGTCATTATACGAATAGCTTGTGTACACACAAGCAACTAAAGAATGAATGACAGAATTACATATCGTTGCTAATTTCCCAGACAGAGATTGATAACCTTTTAGATGCTATTTATTGAATTTATAATTATATTTCAGCATGTCTTCAAATCGAAAAGTAGTGTTTGTGACCGGCGGTGCCGGATACATCGGAAGTCATTGCGTCGTAGCCTTGCAAGAGGCGGGCTACGACGTTATTGCGGCGGACAATTTCGCTAACAGCGTCGATGACGAATTCGGGGGTGCTAGCGCTCTCAAGAGGGTTGAACAGATAACAGGAAGAAAGGTACTTCATAAAAATTCAGAATATTATCAAACTATCTGTAAGTGGAATTGTGTCTTAAGGCAATTAGGGCATCGTGCCTTAAGGCAAATTGCTGGAACTTTCCGTACCGCAATTCAAAATTCGAGTAATTAAAAATAATCAATAATAATAATCAATAAAAGTTGATCAATTATTTGAAACTTTTAATAGAATTTCGAACCATATTAAATCATTCTATCTTAAATCATTTATTTTGAAATATTTTGGAAATTCTGAACATTTTTTCAAAGCAATCGTACTGCTTTAACTGCATAAAGACGAAATATCAAAGCGCCGCGTCGCCGTCTAATGCGTAAACATTGGTACGGAACCCATAGGAGTGCAAACAAAATTTATACTTATTGTTAAAATCTCTATAGAATATCTGATAATTTGATGTGCATATGTCTAATGATCATTTTTGACCGCCAAATGGAATTTTTGTTTACTTTTTTTATTAGATCTCCGAAATCGCTAGACCTGCCTTCATGAAAATTTGACCGGTTCTTCATTTAGTCAATACAAATAGAATGTTTTTTGAATTATTCAAATCGGACGCTCCGTTCTCTTAAAAACTGAGTTACCGTTTTTGGCACTTTTTGGCCCGTATCTTCGGAACGGCTAGACCTGCCTTCTCCAAAAACTAATCAGCACGTCTCCTTATTAATACGAATTGAATGATTTTTAAATTATTCAAATCGGTTGATCCGTGTTCATACATACATACACGCACACACACACACATACATCCATTTTTTCTTTAAATGTTCAGAAGGTTTTGAAACGTAAAGATCTATAAAAATTTTCATTTTCAATTTTTTTGCGATCACTATAACTTGCCTTACGGGAAGTTAACTAGTGGTGTATGGCATCGTGCCTCAAGGCAAATTGCTGGAACTTTCCGTACCGTAACGAAATGTTCGAGGAATGTTAAAATGTTTTTAAATAGATTATTATAAATACTGTAACATTTTCAAATATTTATAAGAATTATATAAACTTAATTAATTACAAAATTAATATATATAATATAATAAAATAATATAATATATTAATTTGAAGTATATAAGTGAGCTTTTGTTAGTCAGAATTAAAATTAAAATCTGAATTCTGAATTGGAATTTTGGAAAATAAAATTTTAAACAAAGCTTTTTTTTCCAAAAGTAATTATTTTGTTAAAACAAGCATAAAGTTCTTTGAATCATTCAAATCGGACGCTTAGTTCTCTCAAAAACTACCATTTCTTGCACATTTAGCCTTGTATCTTCGAAATTGCTGGACCTGCCTTTGCCAAAACTAATCACCTCTTCTGCCAATCATTAAGGTGCGTCCACACCTAACGAACGAACACGAACGAACATGTCGAACACGAAAATGCAAAGAAGAACGAACAGGAACACGAACAAACGCGAATAATTCCAAACAAACGCCTCAAAGCAGTGAGGGCTTAAATCTTTTTGTTCGAGGATGTACGGTGAAACGTCAGATTTATTATTCAAAGTGGCGGGAAAGAGCAGAATTATTTAAAGTCATCAAATTCACAAAATTTGTCAATAACAACAATATCTTATAATAAACACAACATAAATTAATGCATGACTGCACATTTTAACATCAAAAAAGAAAAATGTTTGTCTACATTCGTGGTAGCGTCCACACTGCACATACGAGTTCAAACATGAACGAACAATTCCCTTTGATGTACCGACAAGTTGCGGAACATTGCTCGCCATGTATGTTTATGTTCGTTCGTGATCGTCGTGGCGTCCACACTATGCTGTTGCCGTTCGTTATGGTACGTTCATTTATGTTCATTCGTGTTCGTTCGTTAGGTGTGGACGCACCTTTACAAATTGAAAGTTTTTTAGATCATTCAAATCGGATACTGCGTTTTCGCAAAACCTCGATTTGTATTTTTTGTACTTTTTGCTCCGTACCTCCGAAACGGTTGGACCTGTCTTTGTCAAAAACTAATCAGCATGTCTCCCCCGTCAGTAGGAATGGAATATTTTTTGAGTCATTCAAATCGGTTGATTCATGCGCTCGAAATCGTGGACGAAAAATTGTATCCACACATATATACATACACACACACATACATTCATTTTTTTTGCCAAAGTATGCCAAAATATTCAGAAGCCTTTGAAATGTAAAGATATACAAAAATTTTCATTTTTGATTTTTTTCCGATTACTATAACTTTCCCTACGGGAAGTTAAAAATTCAAAATATTATCAAATAATGGTAAATATCCACATTAATGGTTTATTTTTGCAGGTTCCTTTCTACCGTTGTGATATGTTAGACCGTGACAGTATAGACAAGATTTTTAAAGAGGTATATTAAATATTTATTTGCACTTCATGTTAATTAACTAATTAAGAATTTTTCTTCATTTTAATTAACTGTAAACAAAATCATTTCAGAATCATATAGATTGCGTTATACACTTTGCGGCAATGAAAGCTGTTGGAGAGTCTATGAAGTTACCATTGCTGTATTATAAGAATAACTTAGTGGGAATGATTAATCTCTTAGAGGTAACGATGACTTTTTACTTAAATTTATAAAAGCATTTATTAAAGTGAATATATTTTATATAGAAAAATATACTCACAGCTATTGTGTCAATAATTTAATGTAAAATTGTAAAAAGAGGTATAATGGTTTTGATCGGGACGGTCCCGGATTTTTACTTCGCGTTCAGTTTTTTTTCTAGAAGCAATAATTATCTCAATTGCAAATTTATTGTCCGAAGAATTTTATTCAAGTTATTTATCTATAAGTTATTTAGAGTAAATATTTATATCATATTTAAATTATTTAGCGTTTCGGATTTCATAATTATAAGTTACATAATAACGGTTTTGGAATTAAAACAATATGACCAATTTAAATTTATATTATTATTTATCAATATTACTTGATGTTAATAAATTAGCAGTTGTAATAATTATTGAAATTAAAAAAAAAAAAAATTCTAAGGTACATTTTTATTTAAGTAGTGTGCCTTAGATTGCTATTCAAAAATTCATTTTTTTTTTAAACAATTACATTATTCTGCAATATTTATTATATATCAATTACCAATTATTTAAATAAGAACTCTCAATCAACGTGGCCTTATCTAATAAACTTTCTTTAGTTGCATTCATACTTTCTTTTCAATTATCTAATTTTATTTTCACTTATATGTATTACTTGAAGGTAATGGAATCCCATGAATGTTATCAGTTGGTATTTTCGAGTTCATGTACAGTTTATGGGGAACCAGAAACGTTGCCAATTACCGAAAATCATGAAACCGGAAAGGTTACTAATGTATACGGAAGAACAAAGTATTTTATTGAGGAGATGTTGAAAGACATCAGCTTAGCTGATCAGGTAAATTGAAAAATTAAGTTTTAAAGAAGAGTATTTTTCCTAAATTTTCCCAAAAGTTTGAAGTTTCCAAATTACTTGCTATACACTCTATCATTTTTAATGTTTTATGGTTTATATAATAGTTTTTCTTTAAATAGTATATAATTTATTATATTTGGATGTGCAATAATTTATTTCACAATTGTTATGTATTGTTATCTTTTTAGAAATGGAATATAATTGCTTTGCGTTATTTCAACCCTGTCGGTGCACATTCTTCTGGTTTGATTGGAGAAGATCCTACAAAAGCTTTCACAAATCTAATGCCTTATATTGCTCAAGTGGCCATTGGAAAAAAGAAAGAACTAACCATTTTTGGTGGAGATTATGAAACTAAAGATGGCACAAGGTAAAATTATTTTAAATAAATCATTTAGTTAAATAATTAATTGTATTCTATAAAATAGTTGCAATTGTTGTATTTAAATGCACACATTCAAGATCAAAATGCTTAGTTAAATCTATAATTGTGTTTGTAAATTCAGCGATTTTGTTAATGTGACTTGTTTCTGAAATGAGCAAAATATTCAATTTTGAGAGTATTATTTTAAAAGTAGAATTCTTTCAATTAATTTTTTTTAAATAATACTTATTGTTTGTGGTGAAATAATTAAATAAATAAATATATAATGTCTTGAATCTATGATATTAATAAAAATGTATAATTTTTAATGAAATATTTTCTTTCAGGTATAAGAGATTATATTCACGTTATGGATTTGGCAGTAGGTCACGTTGCTGCTCTATCTAAACTCAATAATAATCACTTAAGACTCAAGGCAAGTGTCTAAGGTATGCTGATACGCATTTCTAAGCGCAGCATAATATATTTATAATATTTTTAATATGTTATGATAAGTTTATATCATACTATAGGATAATGCAATATAATTTTTAATATAGTTTTACAACTTGGGGACCGGCAAAGGAGTCTCAGTGCTGGAATTTTAGTTAAAACTTTTGAACGTGTCACTGGAACTACTGTCCCTTATGTGATAACAGATAGGCGAGAAGGAGACATTACTTCTATGTTTGCTGATCCAGAAATGGCCCATAAGGAATTGGGTTGGAAAACCCAATACAGCCTAGAAGAAATGTGTAAGAAAATAACATTTTTAAATTATTTACTAAAATATTTAATACTCGTTATTCCATTTAATAACTAACTGTATTAGTATTCATAATAGCTATTATGACTAGTATAGTAAATATTATTCACACTTTTTATGGGCAACAACCCACTAAACCAGTTGCAAAATCTTTAAAGTGCTGAATTCTTTTTTATATAATTTATATAATATTATTGGTAAAAGATTTCTTTTCTTCATTCTTAAATCCTTTCTCAAAAACATTTTTTTTTTCAAATCATTTCTCTAGGATAAGCTCAATTTTAATCATCGCTAATTTATTTAGGTACTGACTTTTGGCGATGGCAAACTAAAAATCCTGATGGATACAGAGGAGGTGCCATTAATGGTCATAAATAACTTAATATAAATGTTTAAAATTAGCTAGACTGATTTAAATAGTTTTACATCAATAAAAATATTTTAATATTTATATTACCAGATGTGAAATTTGTACAAAAATTTCATTTTCTAATAAAATATATTAAAATTAAGTTACATCCTTTATTGAACATTTTATGAATACTCACAATAAATGATGGACTTAAATGATAAAATATTAATAATAAAATTCATGATAAAACTAATCAGCTTCTTGTTTGAAAAGACTTATATGTTGTAATCTTAACGGTTCAAATCCATATGATGTCCAATTTCTTTGAAGACTTCTAGCAAACAACTCCAGACACATTGGAGTATCCGGTAAAAACTGTGTCAATATTTCTGTAATAAATTAAAATTTCAGTTATGTTTTATGATTTATTATTTATTTTTGCAATCATTTTGTAAACCAACCTGTTAAATTTGGCTTATGCGAATGCAAAGCACTTGGTACGCTGACAATAATTTTTTGATCTGGTATTATTTTGAAATCGCAATCATCATTGATATATTTCCACATTAAAAGGCCAATTATTATTTGTTCAAATGGTTGCTTAACAGGCGGTTTTGAAAAATCACATATAGGTTTACATCTTTTGTTATCTATATTATAGAATAAGAAACATAAATAAAATAACTATTATTTGATCAATATATTTTATCATGAACTGACTTAAAAAAAAGTACATACTTTAACCCAATACCAAATAGCTTCTTTTGTTAAATTCCATTCAGGAAAAAGAACATCGTTGATATATAAGTCAAGTGGCTTGGTGAATTAGTACACCAAATTAAAACAATTCCATTATGTTTCAAAAGTTTTTTAATGGGGCAAATTAGTAGTTCTGAGTTTTCAAGCATATTATAACTGCAAGAATAATAAATTTTTCAAAGAGCTAAGATATTTAATTAATCTTTTAATTATATATTAAATCATTAGCATTTATTATATTTTAAAACCTTAATCCTAATCCTGGGATTTTTTCCTTCTGATATGTTTATTCACCAAGGAGGGTCCAGTGCAATCAAATCATACTGTATCGAAAAGTCTAAGTGGTTCTTCATTTCTCTAATATCGTAACTATAGAAGTTGCAATTTGCAGGTATAATAATTTTTCATCATTTAATATCACAAGTAAATTATCATTGGAGTTATTATTTCCACCCTTAGAATATTTAGCAAATCAATAGAAGATGGTCCTTGTAAAATTCATTTGAAAATTAATTTTGCAGATTTATTTTCATCTTTTGCAGAACCATGAAATGTACTGATATATCCTAATTGTCTTGCTTGTTTAATAATTTCAACTAATTTTAGTTGAACTAATAAATCTAAAAATGATTATTATTTTAATATCAGATATTAAAAAAAAGATAAGTGAAAGTTATATTGTGTGATTATAATAAATAATATATGTAAAGAAATATTTTAAAAGTATATTATACTAACAGTCTCATTTAAATTACACGTATCGATGAATGTTTTGCAGGACAGTTTTCTCTTTTTAGGTTTTATATTATCTTCAGACTGCTCTTGCTGATTGGTCTTAAAAATTGTGAATTTATATTAAACAAAGATGGGTTAACGATAAACTTTTTGAAATTCCATCACATTTGATAGACTTAATATTAAGATTTATAAAATTTTCTTGATCTATAAGCCAGCCTGCATCACTACTCAAAAGAATACTCATGTTGGGTTTCTAAATCATATTTTATCACAATGTAGTTTTGCTGAAAGTTACTGTTATAAGCAGTTTTAATATTATAATTATTTAGTTTGTAATATTGATAAATAAAATAATAATAATACTAAAGAGGTTAAATTTGTTTGAAAATCTAACCTCAAATTTAAAATTGAAACGTCACTTGCTAAATATTTATACCATTCTTCTTACTTTTAATCTTAAGTCATACATGTGCTTACTTAAACACAAAATATATTTATGTTTAAGTTAAATAATAAAAATTCAATAAAATGGGGGCCATCCAGGCTAGAAATCAATGTCGAAAGACTTTTAAATAAATGTGAAATAAGGCTAATGATGATTTTAAATAGGGATTGGCGATTAGAAACATATATAAATCCTTAGAAAAAATGATAAAAGACTGGCATAGTATGCCAGTGTAAGTACTGTTTTTGTCATATATTTTTTTCATAGTGTTACTTTAAAGATTTTAAAATTTTAGAACTTGTAAACCAGAAAAAGAGGTTTTGACAGATTATATCAGAAGGTGTACTTTTCTAAAAGGCTTAATTAAAACTGAAACACATATAGAAAACGCTACTGAAAAGATTCTGGCCGTAACAATTATTATCGCATGGTGTTGCTACTACTGAAACAAATCCAGTTACAAAAGAAATTCATCAAAAAAGTACTAGTAAATTTGAGAAACAACTCAAAGATGAATTATTTGGAGTGGAAGAGAAGAGGTGAATCATTTAAAGATTATGGTTATCTAAAGTTCTTTAGACTATTATATTGATATGATATATTCCATTGATTCCTAATTGAAACAATTAAAAATTATATAAAATCGTACAAGTAGACAGTAAACTGATCTGGGAATTTAAACCTTTTTAGATACACAAGCTTTTTTGATGAATTGTCGTTATATACCTACAACCACCCAAATAACTAATTATTAAAAATTATTATATGTAGGCTTTTATTTTCTCGTTCTACCTTGTAATGTTTTTTATTATAATAAGCCTTTTGCACGATTAAAGCATTATATTTTGGATTTGCTTTAATAATCTTATAAACTTTAATTTCATTAACCTTTATACACTATGTATAAGATAAGCTGAAAGAATGATGAATAGATCAATAATAAGCATATTTTCTGTATAAAAACCTTTATATAATCTCTTTGTGTAATCAACCATTGCTATAAAGTATTGAAAAGACATAGTAATCTCGAAATAATAATAAAATAAGTTTATCTTTAGGTATTTGTTTCAATTGTTAATTAATTATTCATTCCAGATTTACTATCGGACTCTGCATTCGTTGCGGCAAACATCATCTGTTGGAAATTCAGAAGCTAGCTCAGGGAAGATCTTGATGTATTAATTAAGTATCATCATTCTATGCAAGAAAAAATAGCAGAAAACATGTTGTCTATGGCAAAAAATTT